ACATGACGGTGAGCAGCGAGAGTGGAGGAGGCAGCCTACAGAAATTGTATCAACACATTAAAAAAAAAGATCTATTCAGAATGTGTTAAGACTTACCACTGCAAACGTATCCTATATGCATCATTAGCAACACCATTAAGAGTTTCACGTTGGTTTCAAAGGAGCTAAATACACGTCATAACTCATGTATGGAGCTTAATGACTTTGGCTAATTATTTTAAAGTTTTAATACCTTTAAAAACCATTGAAAAATTTTTTTTTTCTCTCTCCTTATGTAAGCTGTTTTGTTAAGGCGGTGCGAATATTATCTTTCCATAATTGGGCATCCCTATCTTAAGACGGGAACCCTTTTGAAAATCAGGGAATTACCTGTATAGCCGATGATTTTTCCTCGTTTCAGTCGAGGAATCCTCTTTTTCTACACAAGAACATCCCCTTTCGTAATGGTGAAATCTCAGGACGATTTTTTTTAACCATTTGAGGACGAAGGTTTACTCTTCATATATTCCACATGTTCTATAAAACCTAAATGATACTCGTACTCTAGTGAACAGTTGAGAAATACAGTTAAACTCTCATTTTCTAGGAGTCTAGCGTTCGATGACCACTAACTGAACTATTGTGCCAAATACCTAATGATTTCCTTTCTTTCTTTCTCGATGATCTGTTGTCCTCTCTTACCACTGTCACTATTGTTGACACTTTTACAATCTCTTTCTATCTCTTTCTCTTCCTCTGCTTTTTTTAATCTCTCTCTGCCACTTTCTCCTTCTCACTGTCTCTCTCCTCAACAAATTTCTCTCTCTACATCAAAATTCTCAAACGTCTCTTAATTCTCTCTTCTCCTCCTTTTTCTCCACTTTTCCCATAAACTACCTCATTCTCTTACTCTCTATCTTTTGTATTCATTCTCCCTCCCATTATCGCTTTCCACTCTCCCTCCTCCCTCTTCAAAAATGGCACACCAGACTTACCTCATAGCACAGGTTCTCTCTCTCTCTCACACACACACACACACACACACTACATCCTTGACCACCGTAAGGTCGAGACCTATTCAGGCGCTGCTCCCGCTACGCAGCTGTCCCCCTTGGTCAATGTCGGCCCATTCCCCAAGTCCCTCTCCCCGAACAGTGATGAACAGTGTTTAAGCCAGTGAATTCAGCACTAGACAGTACCAGTGAAAGCCGTGACCCACCAGTGAGATAAGCACCCCTGGGAACTGACCACCATCTTCTGACAAGGAGGTGCTAATCCGTCCACCATGGGAACAACAGAGGCCCGGCCGGCTGTGCACCTGACTACGGGATAACACATCACCGCTCAGTGAGGTACTGTGTGACACCACCCCACACCACACGGTGTCTCCATGACCACGTGAGGTCCTTCGTATCAACACCCGAGGATGAGTTACTACACCACTTAAACACCACACCACCCGATGTCTCCATGACCACGTGAGGTCCCTCATATCAACACCCGAGGACGAGTTACTACACCACTTGAACACCTCACCACCTGGTGTCTCCATGACCAGCCCACGCCCGGGCCATCGACTCTACACTATAATAATTTGTATGTTCAATCATTGTTCGTTCTTCTTTTAGTAATGAAAGCTTTTGTTAAACGACCCACCCACCCCATGTCTTTGTATGTATTAAGTCATTTTTGTCTGATGTATATTTTCAGCCTTCGGGCTGCCGACTTTTTCAATAAACCGTTAATTATTATTATTATCACACACACACACACTCTTATCTTCACCTGATAAACACAATGGTAACCAATCGCCACCTGGAAGACGCTCAAAAGGTAGAAAGAAATGCATACTTTGTACGTGTTGATGGCGTCCAGCAACTTCTCTGTCTGTCTGTCTGTCTGTCTGTCTGTCTCCAAAACAAAGAGACAACACTCACCAACTGAGAGAAGTTCATCGGGTTGAGGAGGACGGAGACATTGTAGGTGACGTCTTCCTCCTCCACCGCCTTCTGCACCTCCAGTGTAATCCATTTGGTGTTGAAAAGTTCCCTGTTGACGATGTGGAAATAGCAGAGGGCGCAGGCGTCAGCGTTGTACATGTCCGGCGGGAGGTACTTCTCCTGGGAGGAAGAGACGTGATGAGAGAGAGAGAGAGAGAGAGAGAGAGAGAGAGAGAGAGAGAGAGAGAGAGAGAGAGAGAACTATAATTTTCACTGGTCTTTTCAAATTTATTAATCGTGTTGTTTTCCTCAATTGTGTATATAAACATTTATTTTTGTCTTAGAATGTCAGAGAACTACTATATGAATGTTATATTTACTTTACTATTACTAGGTGTTATCAATGTAGTTGTAGAAGGATTTATTATTACATTGTTTGTTGTGTGTGTGTGTGTGTGTGTGTGTGTCAGGTCATCGTATATATATTTCTGCCTCTCAATTGTTTTATACCGTCTGCGATGTTTATTTTGTTTGCTTCGGACACACACACACACACACACACACACACACACACACACACACACACACACACACACACACATAGTCTCTCCAGCATTGATACAAGATGGCAGGTCCTGAGACCACCCACAGACACTCACTGTATCATCTTTCATCAACTCTCTAGCCGCCCTAACACAAGTGTCCTGTTCAGCCTTTCTTACTCTCAGTCACTTACCTTTGATCTACACAGAGGACGACCTGCGCTCAAGATCATTCTTTCGTGTAGGTCACCATCAACGACTTTACCACCACCTGCCTCCTTCTCCTCTAGTGGACCAGCTGTTTTACTCTCTTCTCTAACAGCTGAGCTTTTGTCGTCGAGCGGATCAGCTGGTGCCTCCTCTTCCTCCTGCACCACCTTCTCCTGCAACTGTGTGTTGCCGGACACCACTGACGTATTTTGTTTGTCGTGTGTGGTGTGTTTGGTGTAGTCTCCCCCCTCACGCTCCTCCCGGGTTCGAGGCACAAGCTCGGCCGAACTTCGGTATGACTCCCTCTTTAAATATTCTTTATACAACGTCTGCTGCGACTCCCGGAGCCTCAAGTCGTCACGCTGGTAGTCGCTGAGGATGTAGCGCTCTCTTGTGTCCTTCCCGAGGTCATGGAGATCGTCTTCAGGATACTCCAAGTCCAGGTCGTATTTCCCGGGGAACCCCAAGCGATGGTCGTCGCCGCTAGAGGCACCAGGGTCGTTGATGAAGGTGTCGTCGAGCAGGAAGCCTCTATGAAGAGACTCCTTTGTGGTGGTGGAACGACTGCTGCCGTCGGTCGTCCACAGCAGCAACAGCTGTTGGGGGATGTAATACTTGTTATTAAACTCAGTTCCTATATATTAATATACTAAACTAAAACTCACATGATACACACACACACACCGTCTGTGAGAGAGTTACTACACCATGTGAGGCCTCTCACAACACCATCTGTGAGGGAGTTACTACCCCATGTGAGGCCTCTCATAACACCGTCTGTGAGGGAGTTACTACACCATGTGAGGCCTCTCATAACACCGTCTGTGAGGGAGTTACTACACCATGTGAGGTCCCTCATAACACCGTCTGTGAGGGAGTTACTACACCATGTGAGGCCTCTCATAACACCGTCTGTGAGGGAGTTACTACACCATGTGAGGCCTCTCATAACACCGTCTGTGAGGGAGTTACTACACCATGTGAGGAGGTCTCATAACGCCGTCTGTGAGGGAGTTACTACACCATGTGAGGTCCCTCATAACACCGTCTGTGAGGGAGTTACTACACCATGTGAGGCCCCTCATAACACCGTCTGTGAGGGAGTTACTACACCATGTGAGGCCCCTCATAACACCATCTGTGAGGGAGTTACTACACTACGTGTTTGCTGCTCAACACCTCATCGCACATGTCCTACGTGACCTACACTGTAAACATTAATTTGTATGTTCACTGTATGTTCATTTTCCTTTCTCTAATGAAGACTTTTGTTAACTCCCCATGTCAGCGTATGTAATAAGTCATTTATGTATATTTTCAGCCTTAAACCGTAGGGTGAAAATCTTTCCGACTTCTGACGCGTCTGCTGCTGTGGCAGCTGCCAGGGCCAATGTTGGGCTACTCCCACAACACCCACTCCTCAACCCCTCCTCCCCACGGGGATGTTAACAAAATCCCTCATAAAGTGACAATTTCGCTTCGGAAAGGCGTGGGAACTATGTTGAACAGTGATGAGCAGTGTTTAGGCCAGTGAAGTCAGCAGTAAACAGTGGCAGCCCATACTAGGCAGCTCACGTTTACACCCAACACCTATTGCTCATATATCCGTCCAACCTATATTTGAAGCTACCCAGCGTGTTCGAGTTAATGATGATGTTTGGTAACTTGTTCCACTCATCCACTACTCAATTTCCAAACCAGTGTTTACCTATCTCGCGCCTAAATCTAAATTTGTCTAATATAAAACCATTGCTACGAGTTCGCTCCTGGTTGGATAGTTTGAGTACCTTTGTTATATTACCTTTGTTCAGCCCTTCTATGTGGTACTCTGATAAAAAGTTTTTGTTCGCCAGATTCATCCAAGTTTCGGCGATTTCTATGACGTCTACATTCTTGGTACATACAACCGCTCTCAGCAAGTCTATTTTATTTCTAGCGCCCCTACTGTTTGTATAGTATATATTTAAACCTACCCTTCCTTGGTCCTGCTTTACCCCTTGTCCTGAGTAACCAATTTTACTCCCCAGGACCTGCTTGTTTTTTGACTCCCTCTTACATCTCTCTCTACTGACGAATCCCCCAGACAACGTCTTTACCCTCGCGCCAGACAAGTGTACTCCGTCACGACTGTACAGGTAGTCGTTGCCATAGAATGGTTGCCAGTTATCAATGAACGCCCAACCATTGCCTGCACAATGTTTTTCCAGTCGGCAATTTATAGAAATTGCCCTGGACAGCCATTCACCACCAACTCCTTTTCTAGGCAAGATACCACATACTATCGGGATCCCTCCCCTATCTCTAATCTTCCTCAGCGCCTCCCTATACCTCTTGAAAAGTTCCTCACTCCTAACCTTACCTATGTCGTTACTTCCTACACTAAGACACACTACTGGATTGGTACCCTCCCCTGACAAAACCCTATCTATCCTCTCAGCTACATGCCCTATCCCAGCCCCAGGAAAACACACCCTAGTCTTACGTTTCCTATCTCTTGCACAAAAAGTCCTATCAAAGAACTTCACCGGACTGTCCCCAACTACCACGACCTTACCACTGGGCAGGGTTTGATCAACTGCCCTTTTCTCTCCTGGCACCACACTACCCTGCCTCTGCTCTTCCTTGCCAGCTTCCTCCAACACTTGGTAGGGGTTGCTGCACTCCACACCCTGGTCAACTTTCCTGAGTCTGACCCTAGTCCCCTTGGAGACAACCACTCTCCATCCCTGCTCCTCTTGACCTCCTTTGTAGATCTCCTGCTAGGCAGGACACCTACCTGAAGGAGTTCAGCCCTGAGGACTTCGTTCCCCCCTTTAAAACGTCTATCTCTCTCCTCAACTGCTCCAGCTGACTTGACAGAGTGGCCAAGGGGTCGTCTTTCCTCACACACCGTCCCTCTTCCCCCACAACAAAACGATCCACGGCGGCCATTTCCTATGGTCACTAACACGAGCACTTAGGAGCACGTCCTTCTCCAAGAATGAGATACTGTGACGATTATATTTCACTTGGGCGATCGTCTGTTCTATGTGATTTAACGTAACTTAACGTAAAGTAACGTGTCTCCATGACCACGTGAGATCCTTCAGATCAACTCCCATGGAGAAGTTACTGCACCACGTGAACATCATACTACACCACCGGTGTCTCCATGACCACGTGAGGTCCTTCATATCAACTCTTATAGACGAGTTACTGCACCACGTGAACAACATGCTACACCATCCCGGTGTCTCCATGACCACGTGAGATCCTTCAGATCAACTCCTATGGACGAATTACTGCACCACGTTACCTACGTGACCTCACACAGTTGGGCAAGAGACCAGCCCGGGCCATAAACTGTAAACTATAATTTGTATGTTCAATCTTCCTTCTCCTTTTAGTAATGAAAGCTTTTGTTAAACGACCCACCCACCCCATGTCTTTGTATGTAATAAGTCATTTCTGTCCAATGTATATTTTCAGCCTTTTGGCTGGTGAGCTTTTTCAATAAACCGCTTATTATGATTATGATTATGATTATGATTATTATCATCATCATTATTATTATTATTATTATTATTATTGTCATTATCATTAATTATTATTATTATTATTATTATTATTATTATATTGCTCTTCTCCTACCGGGAGTGTCCCAAGAGGAGGGAGGAGTGCAGGGTAGCTAAGCTGCGATAAAAGAAACAACTGACGTACGAGGAGGCTCTCCTTGTAGTGAAGAAGAAACAAGAACAAAACAAGACAGAAGAAACAGGAAAATAAGACAAGAAAGAAAACAACTAGAACCAGCTATATCAACAGTAAGAAATGTCGAGTTTATTAACCTCAACGACTTATTACCAGAACAGCTGTAGACGACAAGAGAGATGAAAAGTGGGAAGCGCAGAAAACAAAGAACAAAAGGAAGAAGTCAAAAGAACAAGACTGAGGCCGTAACTGCACTATCCACTATGCTACCACCACTCTACTATCATCTACATTATTACTATCACAATAAACGAGCTAAAGGCCACATTATCCCATAGTACACTGTCATCTGGATGCTCGGGTTGTACGCGTTGTTGCGGCTTCACGAACACAGTATACACCATAGCTCACGAGAATAACTTACGATTCATTTCACCAAACATGGGAGAAAATTTAACGTTGGGGCATCTGAGAACCTTGACAAATAAGGTTGAATTTTGGAAGTTGCATAAGTAGTTAAATTGTGTTATCCCACTGACAAATATAAGGCGGGGTATTGTTTTTGGTCTTGCAGAGAGGACGGATCGCACCATAAATTGACCAAGTTTTAACATGGTGACAGTTCGCGTAATGGGGACACACGCAGGGCTTTTTGTGTTAAAAAAAACGATGATAAGAGATAGTCTCCAGCGGTGACTACATTAA